ATGGGATGGGAAGGGGAAACAAAGGAGGAGGCTACAATGCTTGATAAGAAATGTACTCATTATCTTGCCCATGTAATTGTAACCCCTCTGTACAGCATTTTCACAATTAAAAAAAAAAAAAAAAGAAGTGCTGAGCTGAGAATGGAGCTTAGTGGTAGAGTGCTTGCCTAGCATGTGTGAAACCCTGAGTTCATTCCTCAGTACTGCATATACAGAAAAAAGCCACAAGTAGCACTGTGACTCAAGTGGTAGAGCAGTAGACTTGAGTACAGAAGCTCAGGGACAGAGCCCAGGACCGGAGTTCAAGTCCCAGGATAGGAGGAGGAGGAGGAAGAGGAGGAGAATTGCTTGCTTGGATCACTCAGAAGAATTTAGCAAAAAAAGAAAGCACAAATCTGGGATATCAACAAAGAGCCTGGCAGGTAAAATAATCTTAGTAAAGATGGCATCAGCTTCCGGGAGAGAAGAAAATTGGATGGCCCTGACAAATATTAGGGAGATAAATATTAAATTGGAAAGAGGCCTTTAAATCTGTTAAATAGCAAGCTTTTTGGCAACCTTTGAGTATAGAGTTGCATCAGTATGGTGGAGGCGGAAGCCAGATTTGCAGTGGGCGACCGGGAAATTTATGTATGAAAAGAGACCAGGAAAAAAGGCTGGTTAATTTGTTAAGTTTTCCAAGTCTGTAGGCTGAAGTTAAGGAAGTGGCAAGTGGAAAATTGGGCCAGGACACTAGATAGACCAAAAATAATCAATGTGTCAAGAAAATGACAAGCAGGTGCTGGTGGCTCATGCCTGTAACCCTAACTACTCAGGAGGCTGAGATATGAGGATCTTGGTTCAAAGCCAGCCCAGGCAGAAAGTCTGTGAGACTCTTATCTCCAATAAACTACTCAGAAAAAGCTGAAAGTGTCACTATGGCTCAAGTGGTAGAGCTCTAGCCTTGAACTGAAGAACTCAGGGGCAGCACCCAGGCCCAGAGTTCAAGACCCATGATGGACAAAAAAAAGACAGAGGTTGTTGCTATGGTTCATGCCAGTAATCCTTGCTACTCAGGAGGCTGAGATCTGAGGATTGTGTTTCAAAGCCAGCCTGGGCAGAAAAAAACTCAAGATTCCATCTTCAATTAACAAAAAATGTCAGACTAGGAGTGTGGCTCAAGCAGTAGAGCACCAGCTGTTTGCAAAAAAGCTGAGTAAGAGCCTGAGATCCTGAGTTCGAACCTCAAAATCAACACACAAAAAGAAAAAGGTGACAGGAAACAAGAGCCCTGTCAACCACTCTCCCTTTGTACTCCTTTAAGTACCTTGAAATCTTTAGTCTTATTTTGTGTATTTGGGTCTTTTAACTCCGAAGTCCCTCCCCCACCAGATAGTTGTTGTTGTTGTTGTTTTTACAAGATATTACCATTTGTGTGCATGCACATGCGTGTGTGCTTGAACCACACCTCCAAGTTTTTGCTGTTTAACTGGAAATAAGTCTCATGGACTTTTCTGTCTTGGCTGACTTCAAACCTGGATCCTCAGATCTTAGATCCCTGAGTAGCTAGGATTATAGGTGTGAGCCACCAGCACCAGCTAAGAGACAGTCTTGACACACTCTGAAGAGAGTTTGAATATTAAAAAAAAAAAAGACCATGGAGAACGTTTCTGTAAACGTTCAGAGGAAACATCTAGCACAAAAACTCTGAAGCAAGTGTGTGTTTGACATACCAAAGATACAGCAAGGAGGCCAAGTATAATCAACTCAACTTTGGGGCTGGAAATGGTACAAGCGGAAGTCAAAAAAGTAGCCACAGCCTAGATGATGGAGGGTTTTGTAGGCCAGGGTCATTGTCAGATATAAATGATACTTAACACCAGGAGATAATATATCACCTGGAGTGTAAAGGGACTTTAACATTGAGAGGTCAGAAAGACAGAAAGATCCCACAAAAGCTTCAAAGGAGATAAAAGAAAATCAGAGAAATGTTCAGAATATGAAACCAAACTCAACAATAAAGAAATTTAACATTTTCTCCCACAAAATTAACAAAGCTTTTTATACTATAACAATTATTACTTACTTAAAGCAAGTATTTTCATCATTCTAGGTTGGAGTGGTAACTGGTGCAAACCTTTTAAAAATCAATTTATCAGGCTGGGAAGGTGGCTCAGTGGTAGAGTGCTTGTCTTGCATGAATGAGGCCCTGGGTTCGATTTCTCAGCACCACACAAGCAGAAAAAGCCAGAAGTGGTGTGGTGGCTCAAGTGGTAGAGCACTAGCCTTGAGCTGAAGAGCTGAGGGACAGCACCCAGGCCCAGAGTTCAGGCCCCACGACTGACAAAAAAGTAAAAAATAAAATCAATTTATTAGGCCAGGAACCAGTGCACGCCTGGAATCCTAGCTAGCTACTCAGGAAGCTGAGATATGATTCAAAGCCAGCTGGGCCAGGAAAGTCCATGAGACTGTTATCTCCAATTAACCACAGAAAACCGGAAGTGGCATGGTAGCTCAAGTGGTAGAACTCTCGCCTTGAGCTGAGGAGCTGAGGACAGCGCCCAGGCCTAGAGTTCAAGCCCCACAACTGAC